TGACAGCGGGCGACGCACACACTGATACATGAGAGTGACAGCGGGCGACGCACACACTGATACATGAGAGTGACAGCGGGCGACGCACACACTGAAACTCATTACGCTGCATTTCAGGTGTGGTGGGAGGGGAGCCCCAGCCCTTTGCTCTGTAGGCAGTAACATTGTGAGATGACTGCCTGCTTGCATTGTGACTGCGTTTGGTGCTCCTCTCTGCTGAACCGTCATGTTCTCCATGTTCACAGGTCCTTGCGAGCTTACGGACAGTGAGGAGCAACTTTGCTGTGCTAACGCACCTGCAGGATCGTGTAGCCAGCAAGTGAGTTGTGGTTAGACAGAGATTCCCAGACACCCAACCAGTGGTGTTCATAAAGCTGGTGGAAAAACAAGGCTGTGATGTGCAGTATGCGATCCTGGCTGTTAAAGAAACCACAAGCATCCTGTAGTGTCACTGCTTTGTAGGCAAGTAGTACTTGGTGTTTGCAGTATTTCCTGACAGGGATTAATAAAGTATTGCTATTGTTGTTTCATATTCATTATTTAAGCCTTTCAAGCACAATTGATTGACTGGTTTCCATCAATCACTCTGTAAGAGACTAATCAGCCAGGACTAAATTATTTTTTATTTATTAGGCACCAGTTCCTTCTTTACCTTGCATGCGTAAAATATATGCATATGTTTTGTTGATTTCCCACGCAGTTCTTTCCAGCATTTTGTCTTAAGTAATATTGCAGCAGCACAGTTTATGCTGTGAGCTCTACTCATGCTGGTAGTTATTGTACCTCTCAGGACCTAATGAAGACCTTTTCCCTCCTTCAGGAGGTCGTCGGCCAATAACCCTGCATCCATGTGCAAAGCAAACCTGCCAGGTGGGTGGGTGTGCAGCATAATATAACAATGAATGATGATGATGCTTATTATTATCAACTCCCCCTTGGAGACAGATGTTTAGTAACAGAGAAGAAAAGACGTCTAACTGCTGTTCAGGAAGTTCAGGAAATCTCTGCTCTTCAGTGCATTCAGGACACAGTTCAGGAGCTCAGATTTGAAGAATTTAGAACATTTTTCGAGTGGGGCCAAGGTCATAAGATAATGAAAATTTTGGATTTGTCTCAATGCACTGACCTGGTGTAGAGCCGTCCCTTAGCTCTGTAGGGTTTACAGTTTAGGGTTTACAGGATGATGAGACTTTGCCTGCAAATTGGCTGTTGTGGCAAAGCAAGACAGATGAGATATGACACAAACACATTAGGCTTCGGGGTTGAAGTAGAGCTTTTTTGGGTAACCCTAATCCTAACCCAAATCCTAACCCTAATCCTAACCCTAACTGTAACTTCATGATGCCCTTATATCCATTTGTCAAACATTGAGTGCATCTTCATAATGCATTCATAAGCAGCATGTAAGTATCCCTTAACATCCTAAAATACCTTAACAGCTTTAATCTACATTAATAATAATATGCGTTATACGATTATAACAAACATTACTGTGTTTGGGTACTGTACAGACATAGGGGTGTGCCTGAGGGTACAGAGCAGAGATGCAGTGCCCTGTCTGGGTACAGTACAGACATAGGGGAGTGCTGGGGGTACAGAGCAGAGACGCAGTGCCCTGTCTGGGTACAGTACAGACATAGGGGTGTGCCTGGGGGTACAGAGCAGAGACGCAGTGCACTGTCTGGGTACAGTACAGACATAGGGGAGTGCTGGGGGTACAGAGCAGAGACTCAGTGCCCTGTCTGGGTACAGTACAGACATAGGGGTGAGCCTAGGGGTACAGAGCAGAGACGCCGTCCTGAGGGCCTTGTCTGTGCTTGCACTTGTCTCCCGCAGAGGAGGCCTACCAGAAGCTGGCCGTCGAGACGCTGGAGGAGCTGGACTGGTGTCTTGACCAGCTGGAGACCCTACAGACACGGCACTCTGTCAGCGAGATGGCCTCAAACAAGGTGAGGCAAAGAAGGCCATAGAACCTGGGCTAGATATACAGTTTGGGCAGGTAAAGAGGAGCAGCACAGATTATTTGTTAGTGACCAGATGGTTTAAGTTCACTTTGACCACCTAAAGTCATCGGTTTCGGTCACAGTTTCGGACGGCGACAGACACCTATCGCCTACTGACACCGTAGTGCTACGCATTACTCACACATTTGTGGTGATGCTGCTGTAAGTAATTCTACTGCACTGCCGGTCATATAACAGGTATGTACAGTACGTAATAATGATAAACATTTATGTTACTGGTTTATATATTTACTATATAGTCCTTTTTATCTTTATTTTAGAGTGCACTCTTTCTGCTTTGCCACACATAACTGTAATACACGCACTTTAAGCTGGACGCCACACTAACGCAGTCATAGCTTGTTTTAAGCATTGTAACAGGAACATTGGCATTAGTTTGCATCTCAGATGAGAACATTTTGCAATTTGCTATGTTTTGCATTTCGTTGGTAACTTGGAAATATTTCCACGCCATTTATCGTTTATTGTGCTTGTTAGCAGAATCGCAGATACACCATTATGTGGTATCAGGGTCAGGCATCGGAACATTGTCATAAGGAGGAGGAGAGCACGGATCTGATCAGTACTAGTAGTAGGGTCGGTATCAGTGCATCCCTCACTTTTTTTTCTCGCCCGGTGCCCTTGTGGGAACTGCTCACATGTCCCACAAGAGAGAAACTACAAGCTGCAGGTTGTGCAGGTCCGTTGTGCTTGAATGTGAGCTGGTGTATCACGAGTTTGGGGGTGTACTTACGGTTGTTACGTAACAGTCTGGGATTTTTTGAATCAAGCTGTCTAACCACCTTCTATTACATACGTGGGATTTATATTGGAAAGAGGGAGCAACAGTGTCAGAGATTCACGGTATTTCAGCTCCATGTACCAAACTCTCATGATTCAAGTGTACCAAGGTAAAGTCAGATTTTCATTCTGTGGCGCCTTTAATATTGGCTTTGGGTTTTCAGTATTAATTCTTAATCAGGAGCTTCATTATATTAAATCACTATATTTGTCACATCACTTAATACTTGGTAGAGTAACAGGTGAGTAAAATACATCAGTGTAAATTCCCAAAGAGCAGCAACAGAATAGTGCAGTAAAACAAGCAGGGAGAATAGGAAGTGTAGTAATACTACTACTACTACTACTATTACTTATAATTATAATAATAATAATAATGATAGATAGATAGATAGGTATAAATTAGAGATAAATCTACATACCAACATGTATACCCATACAGCAGGTGTGCAGTGTGCTGTACACCATGATATTTTGGATGAAATGCTTCTGCATTTTTTTATTCTAAAATATACACACGGATATATACACCTTGTACATTTCCTGGGCTTGTTTGTACTGAACAGACGGCCTGTGGCATGTGTTCACTTCCAGTTTAAGCGGATGTTGAATCGAGAGCTAACCCAGCTGTCAGAAACAAGCCGCTCAGGGATCCAGGTCTCCGAGTACATCTCCAGCACCTTTCTGGGTGAGTTACGGTGCGGCTGCCTGGACACACAGCGGACGTGCTGACCCAACAGCCTTCTCACAAGCTTTAAACAACTTACCGCCATTATTAAGCTTCTGTCCAGACAGTGAGTACTGCTGAGGCTATGTTTAGTCTTGCATAATTTCTGTTAGCTTTTAAGTACACATCTGTATAAGTAGATAGATAGTTTATTGATCCTGAAGGAGATCTGGGAATGAAACACAGGCCTCCCACATGGCAGGATCCTACCACAGAACCACCAATACAGGTGGCAGCTCTGGGTCTTTAAGTGGCCTCACTGCTGTCCGGTGCTGGGTAACAATGTGAGAGTCCGAGGACTGTAACTTTGTTAGGAAGAGGCTCATCCCTTAACACATTGTCCATGGTTGCCATGGGGACAGTATTATTAGTAGACAGTTCTTGCGTCAGAACTTTGTGTTTTTAACTATTATTACTTCAGATTTGCTTTTAGACATGGAGAAAATTAACCCTGGTTTTTAAAAAATAAAAAAAAAAATAAAAAAAAACTGTACATGGGAAGAACACATTTGAACTGTTTCTTTTCTTTTGGACATTTTGTTTGAGGAATTAGTTTGGTAAATGCTTTTTTGCTGATTGGTGACAGATGATGAGGTGTTTGAGCCGGGTAAGACTGCTTTTTTGTCTTCTGTAGAACATTTGTGTGTTTGAGTTACCAAAATAGTTCGGAGGTTATTGGTTGTTTTATAATAAGATAATTTTCTATGTCCTGTATTCTCCACAGATCATTGTATGAAGCTGTTAATGATTCATCTGTTTAATCACAGATCTAAACTATGCTTGTAAACTCAAAATATGTTTCATACAAGTATTCAGCTAAGCTGTGGGTGAACTGATGGAAATTCTCTAGTGTTCTGTAGGCAGGCCTTTCCTCAAAACTACTTTTCCATCTAAACTGGTAGAATAAAGATTAAAAACAGCTCCACATGAATTCAGTGACGCTCCACATACTGGGTAGCTTTGGAAAACAGTGAGCCTGTGGCTCTGGGCATGTGTGTGTTCAGAGGTAGCTTCAGGACTGCCGTGGAGGTGTGGCTGAATGTGTCCGGTCTGTGTGCCCCGCTGCAGAAAAGCAGCACGATGTGGAGATCATGTCCCCGTCCCCTAAGGACAAGGACAAGAAGAAGCGCCCCATGTCTCAGATCAGCGGTGTGAAGAAGCCAGCTCACAGCCCCAGTGTGGCCGCCTGCACGATTCCGCGTTTTGGTGTCACCACAGACCAGGAGGCTTCGCTGGCCAAGGTTGGTGCTCTTCACCCAGCTGCCGGGGGAACATCCCAGCCTCAGTCGCCACATTGACTGAAATTTCAATACACTGTATACTTCAGTAAGTCACCCCATACTAATGAACTCCTGTCAGCTGTATTACCCACAATCCACTGGTACAATACAGTGGATTCTCGTTTTATGCCAAGTTAAAACATGTCGTTTTAGATAACTCAAAGGTATTTTTTAAATTATATGGCATGTGCCTATCAAAATAAGTTAAATTGCAGTTAAACCATTTTTATTTTTCAGGGAGCAAAAATGATACAAAACATGTCTTGTGTTTGGCATCATAGAAATCTCCACTAAGTCTGTCAGAGTGAGCACTCTGTAATCTTTTTGGATGGGTAAACCTGTTCAGTGGTCTTCTTCCTAGTAATTCTTTTCTTTCCTCCCAGGAATTAGAAGATATCAACCGATGGGGCCTAGATACCTTCAAGATATCAGAGTATTCTAGCAATCGTCCTTTGACTGTAGTCATGTACTCCATCTTCCAGGTGGGTCCTTTTCTATATTTATTACCACCGAGTCACTAGCTGTGTTCTGAATGCGCTGTCATTATAAAAACTAACTCGGTATGAATGAATCCTGTGAAAAGTGATAGAAAATCCAGAAATAACAACTGCACATGTGAAAAGAGGCTAGCTGAGATCATCATGTCGTACAAGCAGATGTGCTGGTAGCTTTGTTAGCATATTAGAAGATAGCTGGGTGGCCACATATGGACTGTGGGAATTAGAATGTAACCAGTGAAGACGACAGCATTAGTAATGCCGGGCTCATTGTTGGCTCATCTACTGGATACATGGTTATGGGAAATAGATGGATGGATGGATGGACCGATCGATCGATTGATTGATTGATTCATTCATTCATTCATTGATCCCATGGGAAATTTATTGGGGATTATTAGTTCAGTTTTCTTATGGTTATAGTGCTGGGGACATGATGTGAATGTCGGCCAAGGGTGGGACAGGTGAATTCTGGTGCGATCTCACCATGTGCTACTTCTGCTCCTTCGTAGGAAAGAGATCTGCTGAAGTCGTTCAAGATGCCAGTAGACACTTTCATCACGTTCATGATGACGCTTGAGGACCATTACCATACTGACGTGGCCTACCATAACAACATCCATGCTGCAGACGTGGTCCAGTCCACCCACGTCCTCCTCTCCACTCCAGCACTTGAGGTTAGTGTAGATCAGACCAAGCCCAGACTGTCGTCTTTGGTGGAGCTGCTGATGGGTAATGTGTGTTTTTTTTCCTCCCTTCCATTGCTTCTGTTCCTCAGGCCGTTTTCACTGACCTTGAAATCCTGGCTGCCCTCTTTGCCAGCGCCATCCATGACGTAGATCACCCAGGCTTATCCAACCAGTTCCTCATCAACACAAGTGAGCTGCTCTCCTCTGCCATCAGCACGAGGCCTGACATGCGTGAACTGACACACACATGCTGAACATTGGCCTCATTGTCATCCTTCCACTTTCTTTCCAGGGCCTTTGGCTCTTTGGGAAAAGCAACATGTGACTGTGAAATCTCAAACAAAGCTGCTCATTCGGCAATGTCGTGTGTCACGGGTGAACTGTTTGGTTTGAGAAAGTGCTCGTGAGGTTCTTCATGGACATCTCATGCATGTTGTACATTCCATAATTATGATTTTCAAATGGAGAGGATTGGTAGCTCAGTGGATAGCACGTCTTACCTCCAGGATTGGGGGGTTGAACCCGGGCTGGCTGAGTTACCCAGGGCCCCTGAATTACCTATGAAATCATCAACTTGCCTGGAAAGGCCGAGCCAGCCCAGTTTGAATCCCACCCCCGCTCTCTGTTAGTGTCCCTGTCTTGAGTGGGTTTCCTCCAGGTAGTCTGGTTTTCTCGCATTGCAAATATTTGCACAGATAAACTAGAAAAGGGCAGTAGAGAAGACACATCAAAAATGGGCCAATAATTGTAGAGTATTTTAAGCTGGGATGCCACCCCAATGCATCCAAGGCCTGCCTATAGATCTGTTCTCCCTTCTGCTCAGACTCAGAGCTGGCACTGATGTACAATGACGCCTCCGTCCTGGAGAACCACCACCTGGCTGTTGGGTTCAAGCTGTTGCAAGAGGAAAACTGTGACATATTCCAAAACCTCAGCAAGAAGCAGAGACAGTCGCTGCGCAAGATGGTCATTGACATGGTGAGGGCCGAGACTGGGGGTCTCTGGGCACTTCCTGTGGAACATGAAGTGTTTATCAAGACCTTCATGAAGCCTTCTTTGAAATCAGTGAATCACTATCTTATATTAAAGGATTGCTGACACTAGCGATTTCACACTTAGTAAATGAATTATGACATTTGAAGCAAATTACATCCATGTTTTTCGACAGGTCTTGGCTACTGACATGTCCAAACACATGAACTTGCTGGCAGACTTGAAGACCATGGTGGAGACAAAGAAGGTGACGAGTCTAGGAGTGCTGCTCCTAGACAACTACTCTGACCGTATTCAGGTAGGGTGAAGCATCAGCCTCCGCAATCAGAATCACACAAAACTGACTTCGTAGATGTTATACTCGCTATATATTAAGAAGTTTGGCTTCACTCCAGTAGTTCTCATCCCCCACTCAATTTTTTTTCCATGTAAAAAAAAACTTGTTTTTATTTCTCTACAGAGGTATTTGTGTGGCTTCATATGTGTGTAACTAAATATTTGTTGCTTCCTAAACACTGAAAATGTTCCATCAAACTTATTCTACTTTTATTTTTATGAATAATTCGTTTTTTATATTATCCACAAGCGGATAAGCATTTGGAAGATGGATGCATTGGCATGTTTGTCTCTGTGTCTCTGCCATCCCATCTGGCAGCAGACTCGCATTCCAGGTTTTCCACTTACATATAGCTGGAAGCGAATAGAATTATCAGATATAAAGTTTCACAGACCTTCACATTATCTGCCGAGACGCATATTTGTCTAATTCTCGTGGACCTAGCTGGCAACGTTTAGCTGCTGATGTCGTCACATATGTCCCATTCTGTGGTTTTTCTCCAGGTTCTCCAGAACATGGTGCACTGTGCTGACCTCGGCAACCCTACCAAGCCCCTGGAGCTGTACCGGCAGTGGACCGACCGCATCATGGTGGAGTTCTTCACCCAGGGAGACAGGGAGAGGGAGAAGCACATGGAGATCAGTCCCATGTGTGACAGACACAATGCTTCCATTGAGAAATCCCAGGTCAGTGTGCTGAACATTACTGCTGGGTACAACACATTCTCCATGATGGCAGTATTTCACTGTAGAAGCCATTTCCGTCAGGATCCTTTCTGCAAGAAACTGCATCTCTTCATTTATTCCGCTTCCTGCTTCCATGCCAAACTTCCATGCCAAATTTGCTCAGTCTTTCCCCATCAGTTAGGTGCTTAACTATATTTCTTTTTATTTATGTCTTAATGTAATGTTTATATTATTTCATATATTTCAATATTTATGCTCTATGTATTAGTCCCTCGTTTGCACTACGACCAATGAGTACCAAGTCTCACCCTAGCATTTGGCTCCAGGCATCACGCATCAAGGTCTGTGACTTTGCTTGTTACCACCAACTCCTGGATTTCTCCACCACTAGGTTGGGTTCATTGACTACATCGTGCACCCTTTGTGGGAGACGTGGGCGGACCTGGTGCACCCAGATGCCCAGGAGATCCTGGACACGCTGGAGGACAACCGAGAGTGGTACCAGAGCATGATCCCACACAGTCCGTCCCCCCAGCCCGAGGACCAGGACACGGAGGACAAGGCAGCTGCCGCGGAGACTGGGGGGGGAAGCAGCGCCTCTGCTGGAGAGAAGTTCCAGTTTGAACTGACCTTAGAAGAAGAGGAGGAATCAGACAGAGAGGGCCGTCCTGAAGACGAGGAGATGGTAGCTGTCGGCAGTGGGCCATCCAGAACTTCTCCAGACAGCCAAGCCTTGTCCCCTGACCCTCATAGCAGGCCTCCAACAGGCCCCCCACCGGAGGATGCCGCCCTCTGAGGCAGATGTGGGGGACGCAGAAAGAGAACAGGAGCCGGAAGGAAGCAGTGTGCCGGGTTCACAGCCAAAGACATAGTACTGGTCTTCAGGCACCAGGGCTGGATTCTTTGCTCCAGACTGTGAGGGATTCTTTGCTCGTCCTGCAGAGGAGATCGGTGCCATGGAGGAGGGATGGCAAGGATGAGCTTCCACGCCAAACTCAGTCAAGAGTAGCCTTACGCTGGAGGTGCCTCAGAGGAGAGCCCTCTATTTTAACCAGGAACAGAGATGTCCTTTTTCAATTAGAGGGTCTTTTTAAATACCCTTTTCATAAATATATAAATATTTGGGGGGGGGGGGTGTCTTGGACACAGACTGCTGTATTTGGCTGTTGGTTTGTTCATTCACTGAAGCTTAAATCAGTCACACTAAGGTCTACTGACAGAGGAAGAATGGATTCTGCTGAAAAAAGTCTTCCTTTAAAAGATTTCATGGCGTTTGTAGGAGAGAAAAGCATTGGTTATTGTCATACAGTTTGCTGTGGAAGAAAGTGACTTTGACTGAATTTCCATATTTTTTATTTGTTTCAGACTAACTGTATATATTAGTGAAAAGCAACTACATTTTACCAAATATGTACTAAAACAGAGAAAAAAAAACATGTCACTAACCTCAGGGTATGAAGAAAAGAATAGATTTCAATGTAGCAAGGATGTCTGGGTAGCCTTTTACCCTGTTCCCTGTGCAGTGCTCCTACTGGAGTACAGTATCAGAGGAAAAACGAAAAAAAAGCCTGATCCATTTTGTGTGTCTGGCGCCCTCTATTGTTCATTATTTATCATTATTTCATTTGTAAAGTCTCCCACTGTATATTTGTCAATACATTCATTACGGGGCTTTATCACTAAAATATTATTATACAGTGTAATATTTTTCAACATTACTGTTCTAGAAGATTTGAGAAACACTTTTTGTATGCTTTTATGTAAATCCTTGTCCTATTTGTCAGACTGTAGATAATTTAGTTTTATTGTAAAACTGTATCTGGACCTTTCTGTATGTAAACGTGTCAGTGTGCCGCCCGCGCTCCAACATCCAGCTGCGGCTGCGGTCGGTGCCCCGTCGCCGTTTGCCAGTGAGCGCGGCGGTGGCAGTACAGGCGGCTGAGTTCCCCGTCGCCGTTTGCCAGTGAGTGCCCGGCAGCACTGCAGAGAGGGGGGGGGCAACCTGCAGCGCTCTCCAGATCCGAAACCAAAGCTGTTCGGACTTGAAGATCAAAACGGTTCTTCAGGTGCTTTTTGCGTGTTTTCAAGCACTTTGAGAAGTGCCGTGTGTCAGTTACACGTATGAACTGTCAGTACAGAAGTCTTATTGTACACAAACTGAATGTGTGCCGGAAGTTACAGAACGTGTGCCAACATTTTTGTTCTGTTTGGTAGCAATTCTGCTTTATATTCTGATTTCACAAGAGTCTAGCTGCCAATTAGATTTTTACCTTATCAATAATGTGTTTCACAGCAGAGATTTTATAAGCCATTCCTCCCATAGCGAATACTATCACATATATCTGTGCGTTTTTTATGTTTTTAAGTTAATATACTGATGTTCAGTCTTGGGGATAATAGAAATTAGATCACTGTGAATCAGGCATAAATATGACTGATAAAAACTTTTGTGCAGAAAGAATTCTAAATAAAAGTCACTGTAAAACAGTGCAGGTTATTGTGAATATGAGTTAAAATTAAAATGGATTGAAATGTAAAGCGCCTTAGTAACTGACCTGTGTAACTGACCAATCACAACTGTCGATACTGTAGCTTTTGTGTAAAAATCTTTGTCCTTCCGTGTCTCTTAATGTCATTGTTGCCATTGTGCAGCGTTTCCAGCATGGATTTACCAGAAAACACTAACATGACATCCTTATACGCTCAAAACCCAGCCTTATAAAGGCTGATATCCACCTCAGACTCAGATCTTACACTGCAGTGTTCCATCCAGTGGGCAGCCCGGAATGAACTGTCACACCTGAAATTTCAGAGCCTTAAATTTCACTGAAGGGAAACCCTTCTCCAGGAGAGCTGCAGTTTTCCAGTGCCATGCAGTTTGTGAGTCCTGACACTTAACATGTGTCCTGGTTTATCATCTTTACGAGTACAGCAGCGTTGCCATTACAGTACATCCCACTGTCTTCGTACCTGTAAGCCGTTCCTGTTTCCTGTTGTGCCGTTTACTCTTTGTCTGAGGTACTGTACATAGATCACATGTTTCCCGTATCTTGGAGTGTAGCTTTTGAAGAAAAACAAGGAATATAATATAACCAGTACCCCTTTAGTGTGTGCTCTGCTGGTTTTCACGCTGAACCACTAGGTGGCGCATAAACAAATATGTTCTAACGACACATGCATTTTATTGTTTTGCATTTTCAATCACCTTTTTCTTTAAGTTTCATATAAAGGGAGGCATTGAGAGTAAAGCCAAAGGAGAGGCTGAAGTCACCGTGTTTTTATGTGGGCTGAGCCGGTCGAGCACACGTTGAATTGTTAACAGCCACCAGAGCAGACGCTAAAGTGGGACCAGATAACCATTCTGACATGCTCAGTTGTCCACATTTTCGTCTATGACTCCAAAATTCAGGTTCTTATAGACTAAACATATAAATCAATAAAACTATTAAGTCATCCTTATTGCTTTCATTTCTGAGGTATTTTATTTGTTTTTGGTGCATCCAAATGCCAATGTTTACTACTGATATGTAACTTCTGTCTATGTAAATCACGTTGTCAATGTCATTAAAAGAAAAGTCATTCTGGAATCTCGAGTGTTCTCCTTATACTTAATACTTTACCAAATGAAGTAGAGAAGATCCAATGAGGATCTACAATGCTGTAATGCTATGTCCCAGTCCCAAACAAAAACTTTTATCCAGGATGGGCCTTGCGAGACTGTGGCTGGTAGCCAATCATCACCGTGTGGCGAACCCAAGAGACGGTGGCTGGTAGCCAATCATCACCGTGTGGCAACACCATCGGACCGCGGCTGGTAGCCAATCACCATGTGGTGGCCCCAACAGGTCGCAGCTGGTAGGTATTCATTACCGTGTGGGGACGTCAATGTGCAGTGGCTGGTAGGCAATCATCACCGCATGTAGACCCCAACATCCCGTGCTTGGTAGCTAATCATGACCGAATGGTGACCCCAACGTCCCGTGCCTGGTAGCTAATCATGACCGAATGGTGACCCCAACGTCCCGTGCCTGGTAGCTAATCATGACCGAATGGCGACCCCAACAGGCCAGGGCTGGTAACCAACTGCTCCGCTGCAGCCGCTTCCATAAGTGAGGCCATGAGGGAAGGAGCCGGCAGGTGAGCTTTCTTCTCAAATGAGTTTTTAGAAGCATTGTAGAGCAATTTTTTGAGGTTTTTTTTTATATAAAAGTCTTGCTGCTGAGCCAAATCACCCCCTTCCTGCCTCGATATACATATACAGACATATAGGCCTAAATTTAGTTAAGTCTAAAGTAATAGGGAGAATAATTCTTTGATGAACCCTCCCGCTAGGTTTCACTTAAATGTTACACTGAATCACAATGTATCCCTATTCTATAGAGCCCCAGCAGAAATGACAGTACAGGAGAAGAAATGTCTTAAATGATTGAAAATTAATGACGTGAGTCAAAAGTCACAGGTCATTGATGTACAGAATCTTCGTGGGTTTTTGTTCAGTCAGTGAGAAAGAGCATGAAACATTAATGAACCGAATGAATAGTCACCCCTGGAGCCATTCATACTTGACTTGCGTGAGCTTGTGTCATCATTGACCGGTAGCTAAGGAGCTAGAAACATTTGCTCATTTGTGTTTGTTACATTTATATGTGTTAGTCAAAGCACACAGTTAAGCACAGCTGAGTCATTTTGACTAAAAATCCCAAAGAATTGTCCCTTGGCAAATGCATTGTTATCCTATTGTAATGTTAGTGCTATGGGGGTTCACGACATTAATTAACTATTTATATGCACAATGGTTGGGATTTGAGGATGATATGAGATGCTACGCTCCCAAGCGAAATACAAAGGCTTAGGAACCCTATCTGTACATTTACTTGTCTATGTGTCTATTGTGTCCTAGTCTGACGGCACAAGAGCTGCGAGTTTAAGTTCTTAATGTTTGCATCAAAACACAATGCATCCAGCGTAGCCTGGTTTAATGATTGGTATTGGTACATAAAAGGCTGAGAGGGTAATTAAATGAAGGAGAACAATTTCAGTGATTAAGAAAAGCTTTTTGGGTTAATTAATTGTATGAAAGACTTTGTATTGTTATATCAGCTGCATTTTTTTATTTTTGGAGAGTTTAAATTCAAACTATCAAAGCTTAGGATCCTCACTACTGAGAGTTGGTCCATGTCACTTATGGGACACTTTTTGTATTGTTCTTGACACAGGACCACGCTGACTTTGAGGGAGGCAGCCATGGAGCATTTCCCACAGCTGGTGACACCCTGAGATACTGGGGAGAGGTCCAGCTAGCAGTGTGCTTTCTTTGGTCTGTCGACGTTCTCAGACAAGCGCCACTTTGTTGTTGCTCTTATTCGCTATTACCTGACCCAGTGTAAATCTGACAACCTTAGCCCAAAACATTAGAGCGAGGCTCAGTGCATAGAAACATTAGACACACATTGTGCGACAACAACAGAAATTATAATCCTAACTGGTCTCTGGAAAAGGGTGTTTCTAGGGATCAATCTAAAAGCGTGACAAAGCACTTTATAAGGTGCTAAGTCTCCACTTAAGCATAGGCAACATCATGCTGTCTAAATCAAGAAATGGACAGTGGTCTGTTATTCTAGGGGCAGCCTTCCTGCCAAATTCTCATCAGGAGTAAGGAGTACAATTATCCAGGAAGCAGACCTATAGTTCAAGACCTAGACTAGCTGAGACTGGGTCAAGACCAAGTCCAAATAAGAGAGACAGTCAAGACCAAGACATAAAAAGGAGTCCTCCTCATGAACACTTACCCATGTGTAATTTCTGCGTGATGCTCGAGACACAATATATTTTCTCTTTTAAGATGATTATTTTGCCCTACTATTTATTTTGATCAAAAAGCAACTTATGCGTAACAGCACTTCAGGATCAAATCAGGCCACGCTATTGACTTTAAGAATAGCCATTTCAACTGAAATAATAGTCAACACTCCACAAAGAGAAAACAGCAAGTAACCCACACCCAGGAAAGGGTAATGTATCATATCTATGATGATCATTTATAGGCTCAGGATGATGAAGTATATACAGGAAACATGCCGAATAGCATAAAATGACTTTATTCTTAGAACATGTTGGTTTAAAACAGTCCTGACCAACAGAGTGAAAATCCTATTCATGAGCTGATTCCACTATCCACAGAGCTACAGCAGGGATCCCCAGTCATGGCCTTTGAGGGATAACAACAGAGAAACATTTTTCTCCAATTGTGAGCAACAAAATATTATTTACTATAATATTAAGTTAAAGTAGCTGACTACTTATTTGAATCAGATGTTTTGTTAAATTGTCACCACTGAAAACAATCAGGGCTGTCACAGTATCAGATTTTCACAATTATTGTGGCTAAAGGAATTGCCAATGACAATAGTATCATGATATCTATAGAGAATTTGACAATAATAATAATAATAATATAATGAGATTTGTTTATTGTGTGTTTTGCTTTTTTTAGCAAATGGATTACTATGAGTGCAGTGAGGTATAGAGTCTGTAACCATAACCGTACAAAGTGTATGAGAAGAACAATTACACTGCCTAATTGATAATGAAAAGACAACCAGGGCTGAAGGCCGCTTTTAAGCTTACTGTTGATTGGCACTTCCTGCAGACTGGGATCTCCAGCACCTTGGCCTTTTTTTCTTCAGTACCCACTAATAAATAAAGCTATCCCTATAGTTTGCTGTGTACAAGTGAACAGTATGTAAATATAAAAAAAGAATGTTAAAAAAAGAACTAATTGCCTTTGGGGATAGTGTGTGGCTCTGTGCCTATGATCAAGTTGCTGGTTCAAGCCCAGCCTCAGCACATCTATAGATCCTCAAACAAGGCCCATAACCCCCAGCTCCCTGGGCGCTGCCGCGGGTGGCCGCCCTTTGTAGCTCACTATAGATCCTCAAACAAGGCCCATAACCCCCAGCTCCCTGGGCGCTGCCGCGGGTGGCCGCCCTTTGTAGCTCACTATAGATCCTCAAACAAGGCCCATAACCCCCAGCTTCCTGGGCGCTGCCGCGGGTGGCCGCCCTTTGTAGCTCACTATAGATCCTCAAACAAGGCCCATACCCCCAACTCCATGGGTGCTGCCGCGGGTGGCCGCCCTTTGTAGCTCACTATAGATCCTCAAACAAGGCCCATAACCCCCAGCTCCCTGGGCGCTGCCGCGGGTGGCCGCCCTTTGTAGCTCATTATAGATCCTCAAACAAGGCCCATACCCCCAACTCCCTGGGCGCTGCCGTGGGTGGCCGCCCTTTGTAGCTCACTATAGATCCTCAAACAAGACCCATAACCCCCAGCTCCCTGGGTGCTGCCGCGGGTGGCCGCCCTTTGTAGCTCACTATAGATCCTCAAACAAGACCCATAACCCCCAACTCCATGGGTGCTGCCCTTTGTAGCTAACCTGCTCTCACCTACAGAGAGCAAGGCGGGGGAGGCATTAAGAGAATTTCTCCATGGGGATCAATAAAGTGTCTATTATTAACTATAATATTTAGCAATATACCAACAAGTCCAAGACAATAAAAAACCTCTCAAGAGCAGTACTACACCCCAGCCAGGAAGTCATAAAGAATCTGTAAACAACATGCAGAATTCTTTCAGCCTGGCTAAGGTCAGTGTTTTTGACATTCACATCTGAAAGATACTAGGTAAAGACAGGAGAAAATTCAGAACTGCAAAGCTGAAATAACAGCTATTTATGACCAACAGAAATGCTCACTTCAAGTTTGCCAAAAATTTGCACGATCCTCAGAAGTTCTGGAATGAAAAAAGTACTGTCAGGCCAACACAGGCTGTGTTACATCTGAGGAATCAAACACTGGTTTCCAAATAAGAGCCCCATATCTTTGGCCAAGCGTGGTTGTGGCCATGTCATGGAGTTGTCAAGCTTTGCTGCATCGGGACCTGGATGATAGTCATCACTGAATGAATTCTGCTATGTATCAAAGAATCCTACAGGAGCACGTCAGGGCATCCATCTGTGAGATGAAGATGAAGCACTTTGGGCAATGGAGCAAACTGACCAGCAGTGTAAAACACTGAAAGTCTGAATAATAAGAAAAGGAAAAAGCACAGGACTGACCCGAGTCAAAGCCCAAAGCCTGCTGAGATGCTCTGGCAAAGCCTGCACATGCAGTTCATGTTCATAGGCCCCACAAATGGCACAGAGTTGGACCAGTTTCACATGTAGGAGTTGGCTAGAATGACTACATGGTTCCACATAGTGTGACACAAGCCAAAATGGCCACAGGCTCCAGAACTCGCTTCCCATGGTGAAGGTTCTGGAAATGTGGCCATGATGTGGGGAACATTTTCCTGGCACAGATCATGGGAGATGAGAGTACATACAGGACTGTTATGGCTGACCATGCCTATCCCACAGTACCATGGAATCTTCCAGAATGAATATGTCCCTGTCCAGAGGGCACAAGTGGTCACTGAACAATTCAAACCATATGCCATGGATCCAGACAATTCTGTCATCTATGGCTGAATTCACTGAAGGCGTTCTGCAAGCGTGTGTTGTCTCAGCTCACTGTTAACACACTTTTTGCTGACATCTCTGTTGTTGTGGTACATGCCTATATATGGTGCCAGAAACACAGTCCTCCATCCAGCCTGGTTAGGACATACGCAGGGTTCACTCATGGACAAAACTGCTAGCATGTATTCATGTATTTTAAAACTTGAATAGGAGTTAAGAACAACTAATGATGATTTTATTGGTACCTACAGTAGGAATAAATCAGGCAGAAATTGCAGATGGAACTGTTTAATTAAATGCTGAGAAGATGGCAAAGCTTGTTGCATTTTACTCCTAGAAAAGGGAACAGTTGGGAAGTGAAACAGGACTGAAATTTACATTTAGCAGATGCCTTTGCCCAAAGTGACATACAAGCAAGGTAGGTAGTAAATCACAAGTATACAGAAAGAATAGATATGTGTACCTGGGCACCTTTCTGATGTTTTCAGAAACATGACAGTTATCATTTTAAGGGCACAGAAAGGACAGCGATTCATGAAAGTTTGTAACTTGATGCCGACGGAGGGCTGCAAGGGTGCGTGTCAGCATTTAAGGGACTGTCACCTGCCGGGCAGTACGCTCATTGCATGGGTGCGTGTCAGCATTTAAGGGACTGTCACCTGCCGGGCAGTACGCTCATCAAAGACACTCCCTCGCTAAGCTGACTGCTGTCTGCATCCCCGATGCCAAGCTCCAGCAATATGGACCTCCTTACTGATGACACCCAACTTACCAATGCCTAGCAGAGCTCCAAAAGACATTTCTGTGGAGGAAGCAACTCATGTGCTAACAACTGCCTGTATCATGGAGACATTTTTAATGATACAACAAAACTTCATTAATACAACAAAATTTCAAGTCCAGATTTGACAAGGGAGTCCATCCTTCTCCACCAAATACTGCTTTGTCATGGTACATGGGTGGAGCTTTGGGACTGTCTTACATCTGAGTTGGCCGATCATAGCGTCTGAAACGAAAGCATTTCCATGGTCTGGAAAGTAAGGAAGGACTGAAGTCCAAACTTGGTTGTTGTTGCAACCTCAGGTTTGGACCTCGTTACAGGGAGCTTGTATCAAGTGCTCATCATTTTTGATACCGACTTCCCAGAAGTGCTTTGATGAGTAGTTATGGACTTTCTGTGGTTAGTAAATTGTTCTAGCAACCTCCTCGTCAGTTATACCTCTGGAGAAACACCCTTGTTCTAACCACACAGAAATGGATGTCACAAACTACAAACACAATACCATTAGTGATTTAGAAAAATATGATTATTGTTAATTGCTTTCTACTAATGTGAAGCATGTCTTGAAAGTCATAAAATGCATTTTTCACAAGCAAAAACAAATATTACTGTTGTTATTTTAAAGATAGGGTTAGCTTTTTGTTGGTTCATACTTGTGTTCAATGACAATATGCGTAACAGTCAAAAACTTGCTTCCATTACCTACTTAACTGTGGCATAAGAGGGGAGGGTTTCCTACAAATAGTGACAAAGTAATTGTTTTGTGTTATTTCTACTGTTAGTTGTTAATTGCAGTAATTACCCACATTTCTCCAAATATACAATGGCTTGGTCACTGAGTTTTGAGTTTATTCATAAAAATTCAATAACTCAGCTATGACTGTTCAACTGTATGCACACCAAAATCTTTTTTGCCTTTTAACATCAAGAATGGGCCCCAATAATTGACCCAGCAGAATTTACACTTGCTGAACACAAGGCCACAATGTCCCAGAATATAAGGGTAACCTTTACCAAACTATTTAGACAATCAAAAGCAAATATTCTGTTGGATATAACTGGAATTATCTATCTATCTATCTATATATATATATATATATACACACACACACACACACACACAGGTTTGTACTTATATCCTTGTGGGGACTCTCCATTCATTTCTATGGGGAAAACTCTAATCTCAACATGACGATCTTAATGCCTACCAAGCCCTAACCTTAACTACAAGACACGACACAAAGTACAAGATTTATGGCATTTTTAGTCTTCTGAATGCATTCACAGATCTTTGTGGTGACCTGAAAAATGGTCCCCACAACATCAAAAAAACAGGTTTTTATTATATTGGGGGGAATTTTGTCCCCCACAATGTAATATAAATAACACACATACACACACACTATAAATATGTGTGTGTAAAATATACATACAAACACACTCACACACACGCAGATTTACATGCGTATATTTGTGTGTTGCATTAGCTACATATTAGATATATTTAAGTACAAACGGTTGTCCAGTCGACTGAGAATTTTTAGACCGTTTTTCTCATAAATTATAGAGAAACTCAGCTGGTTGAATTAATTATTAACTGAACTGCCTTTAACGCCTACTGAATATTTCAGTACATTTGGGCTGGAGCCTTATCTCTAGTGGTGCTCATACACGTCAATCAATGCCCTAGTCATCCCGAAAGCCCGCCTTCCTTAGTCAGCAACTGTCAATCAAGTGACGTCGGCGTTTCTGCAGGTGCAAGACGAAGTGCTGCATCAGTGCAATAGAAGCTGCATCAAAAATCGCTTTAAACGGTAAGAGCGCCGATGTTTTCCGTCGTTTTCGGTAATTGTTGCTAAAACTGTGCGATCTGTTGCGGGTCCTGGCGATGTGCTGTCACAGACGCTCTTTCAGCCTGAAAAATACGTTGAAGAGGATAACCTTCATTTGACACACGATGCTTTACAGAGCACCAGTGTATCTGGAGACATTTTCACAAACGATCCTGTTAATTCGGGCTGCTTTTCCCGGAGCGTTTTCGGAGGCTTTGAGATGCACTGCGTCATCGTGTCGCCACCGGAATGACTGGCCGGAAAGCCGTGTTCGTTTTTGTGTTTTATTCTGTCCAGCCCCGGGGTTGCAAAATGGTTCTCGACCTGATGTGTGAAACCCGACCGCAGGGCCGGGATGGATCGAGGGGAGTAGCAGGAAGGCTATGCGCTGTCGCGCCCGGCCACTGCTGCACATAGCCTGTATAACACTTTCCAGATAAAGCGGTGTCTGTAAAGCGATCCGCTGCTCGTGACACCGTTTTTAGCGATGCTCCACTTTGGGGATGATGGAGGCGAATGTGATATTGCGTATGTGATGGGGCACGTCTGCTAATAACTGATTAAAATGAGCAAATATGTGGCTTGATGATCTGCATGCTCGGGGGAGCGCCCCTGGTCATGGGCTCGCTTTTCGTTTATTTTATCACTTATTTTGGATGAGATGCGCGCTTCTAACCGAGCTGTGAGATTTGATCTTTCAGATTGGTTTCCTGGTCCTGCCATTATCATCAGGCTGGTTTAGGACAGTGCGATTACTGACACGTTAAAGCCGGCACAACCGTACGAATCAGATAAACCTGTGTGTGTTTATACATGTATATAATAACATTTGATTATATTGATGCCAGCAGGCCACAATGCTGTGGGTTTATAATCTGCAACAGTAACGCCACACAAAGGAAATTTTGTATTTTATCTGTTTTATAGGGTTTTTTATATAGGGTTTCAATCTCCAGATTGAAAATAGAAACTAAAAACGTCGTAATCTGTTTTTGTAATCCTTCATACAATCGGATCAGCCCAGTCGTATAAAACTGATTATCTTTGGAGTCTTATTATTAAAGTCATTTTATTCGTATTAAACTTAGGCCTACCGATTTTTTAAAAGCCTGTTACTTAAGACACATCGAATTCCCTGTTTAGAAAATGTCCACAAGCCATAATAACATAAATGAATCTAGAATGTAATTGCAAGCTTTAGAAAGGTCTGATAAGGAAAACGCGAGACCTTCTTTAACACCCCTCCCCCTCTCCGTTACCCTCCCCACCAAAAACACCCACGAAATCGCCGGCCTTTGGTGTGCCGGAGCTCAGTGGTGCCGCTGCCCGGCGGGCCGGGCCGGGCCGCACCGCACCGCGGCACCGGCAGTCCCACGCCCTGTCTGGCTGCCCCGTCCCTGCCCATCTCCATCCCGGGAAATGTAAAATTAACCCGTCTGCTTTCATTGCGAGTCACGCCCGCAGCCCGCGGCCTGCACAGTGAATTCCCCCCCCCCCCNCCCCCCCCCCCCCCCAAAAGCCCGCTGTACGCAACTCGTTCATGTTTCTAATTTTGTAGCCAGTAAAACAAAAGGGAAATGATGGTGATGCGAGCATCTCGAGTAACTTATGTATTCCTGTTTCAGGATGTTATGCTGTAAATTAATGCCCCGGCTCGCAAGCCGGTATTATGTCATAGATTGCCTGATGTCTTCCAGCTTAAAAATAGGCTCTGAAGTATCTTAAAATAGTAGGTATCCGCAATGCTCCAAAAAGGCTCGTTTGCCACTTTGTGTAAAACAAGGCAAAGCGAGGTCATGCCGGTGAGTCTTGGTGTCTGGATGGTGTTGCTGATGAGCTTAAGTTATGTAACTCGCGATAATTCGGACGCACACAGAATCGGTAGAATTAGTTGCCTAAATCTGATTATTAATGTATGATGGATTTATTATTCAAATCATGGTGTAAAATTATCCGTAATATTTAACACAAGTTTTTCTGTTGAGGCCAAGCGGGATATTTGGTGGTGCAGGATTTGTCATGCGATCCATTTCAGCGGTGTTTGATAATTAGATCGGAAATGTTTACTAGTCAAATGCACTTCTTCATTGTATGCATTTAAAGCCACAGTGACTTCTTCCGTAATACCGATAAAAGGCCGTCTGTCAGTGAGTAGCGGTAGTTATTAGTGAAGCATAGACTGATTAAACTTAAATTCAGGGTATGTTGTACTATTGTCTTCCATACTACATAATATGACAATAGACGCAAATGGACCTCATTAATAGCGTTGCATTGTGTGGTTGTTACATGAGCTTATCGGACTTATTTTATAAATCCAGTTTTTTAATCACCAGGGAAATCCTGAAAAATGTAACTTGAAAAAGAATATCATTTGAAGCACCTTTACTTGGAAGTATTAAGTTACATTTGACATTAGACCATTTTTGGTGTTTCACATAATAGAGTATTCAGTTTCAGAGCTCAGCTTTCTATCTTACCTATACCTTATGGAATAATAGGTCAGTCTGTCATTAGCAGTCCACAGAACAGCAGGGCTCTTTGCGTTTGCAGGCATGCTCTTCTGAAAACCTCTGCCCACCACAATGAGGGCTCTGATTTTCTTGGCATCTGGTACATTTCTGCCTGTCTTTGTTAATGAGGCACTAACAAGCTCATTGTTAAACATGACATCACAGATTCAGTAACAGTCGTCCTCCTGTCAGCCATTTACTTAATATACCCATTCAACTTGAAGGTGCTCTTCTGGTGTCGGGTCTCGTAAGAAAGGGGACATCCCTAAACATTTATAAACGGTAAACTTAAAAAGTGTTCTGCTTTGGTGTAGTCTTAACAGAGATACTCCCACCTTTTTGTGAATTTTCAAAATCCCAGTATGATTTTGATATTAAGTTCTCTCAGGTGTTGGACACGTTTCCATTTGGTTGGTGTACCTGTTACCCTTTGTTATTTAAAATATCTTTATTACAGCTGGCACTTAATGGGGCTGTTTGGTCTTTGCTCAGAAAAATATTACAATGTCTGTTTTACCACTGACTAACGAACAGTTAGATGAATGGTGGATTTTGACCATTTCCTTGTGTTGTTAGACTTTTTCTTAAATTCTCAGAATGTATTTTCTGCTACCTGTTTCATAATTTCGTGCCATAGTCCTGTGCTTAAAGAGGTCTCATGTTTCGATGTTATATAAGTAAAGTGCTATTATCACAGATCTGATAAAAACTGGCAGGCAGATCTCTTGTAGAGCTATTTTTGCTCTCTGCCAATGCAGGGTAATTCATTTTAAAAGACAGGAAAAATGCCTCATTTATAAGCTGACCAATTTTTCTTTATTTTCCCAGAAGCACCCAGATTGGTGGGTTATGATTCCAGAAATGGCTTCTTATTAATTTCTGAGCAAATAATTTTTTTTTAATTTCGCAAAGGAATCTTTTGTCCATCAGATAGATCCTTAGGAGAGATTTCTGGATGGATCTCTCTGATGGCGAAATACATCACTTTGCGCACCTTAGTCTGTGACCTCCACAGCTGTGCATTAATCAGCAAGCTGAGAGGCAAATGCATCCAGAAGGAATCAAAGTGTCATTCAAGTTGAGCACCCTCCTTCCTCAACGTTGTCGTTATGCTGTTTTTCCTTTTTTAGACACATGCACTGTTGTCCTTTTGTCCGATTAGTGTCTGTGTAGATTATGAATTTCAGCCTCCTCCTGTACGTGAGCACCAGGCCTAGCCAGCAGAGTTCCTCACTAGCGTGCACTTTGCATCCTGTTTGCACACACCATCACGTCAGCAGTTAACCAGGACTTCCTTACACGAGAGGCCAGACAGAAGGAGGCGTGGTGTCTGGACCTGACGTTTGCAAGCTGATTAACTGTACATGCAACAAATTTTAAAAAGTTAACTAATTCAGATGACTGATAGAAAATATGGATGGATTTGTTGTATTGCTTTATGAAGATGCTTCTCAGCACAGTTTATATGCTGATTGGCTCTGTGTCCTCAGCACTGAAGGTTTTTTTTCCCTCAATAAGCCACCTGCTTACTGTTAAGACACAAAGGTTAACCCTTTAAGTCCTACTGTTATAGGAGAGCCCTATTGCATTGCTGTTTTAATTGCATAGCCTGTTGGATGGAATTGTCATCCTTTTCATATTCCAAAAGCTCTGTTAAGCTTTACTCCTGAAGTTTAGACAGTAGATGCTTCCTGTATTTAGCTGGAAGCCTGAATCTGCAGACCCCTGAACTGCAGTCCTGAAGGGCCTTGGTCTGGTCAGCAGATATGAGGGACAGCAGAGGATTCCTCTTTATGACCGATGAAATGATGCCGCCTCGTTTTATGCTACTGTGAAGGTCATATGTGAGCAGCCTTGTGGTTTGAAGGCCAGACCACCTACATCACAGGTGCCCTGAAGATCTGGAGGCTCTGTATTTGTCAAAATCTTTGAAGGAATACATATATTTTGGGGTCAGTTTAAAGTCATCCCGCTGAATGATGATGTCCTTTGTACAATCACTTTTCCTGCTCAAGAGGTCTGTTGTGAGGGGGGGCTGGAGTGTATCCCATGCAGCATGGGGCACAAGTCTGGGGCCGCACTGCACGTGATTGCTGGCCATTGTGGGGCGGCATGCACACACATATTTCTATTTCTGTTTTTGTGTGGACTCCATTCATTTCTATGAGAGAACTCTAATCCCAACATGACACCCTTAACCCCCACACAGCCCTAACCTCAACCATAAGTAACCAAACAAAATACAAGAATTTTGGCATTTTTAGTTTTTTTTATTGCCTTCACAGATGTTTGTTTGGACCTGGAAAATGGTGCCCACGTAGTCGAAATAACAGGTTTTTAATGTCCCCACAATATACACATAACACACACCCATACACACAAAATCCTTAGTTTCTTGTGATGTATGATGTCTTCGTGCCATGTGGGAATAACCCACGTCTATGAATAGAACACAGGCAACAATATAAATGGTCTTAAATAGCAAAGCAAATGGGACGTTGTGAATGTGTGAGTAAAACTGGACAAGACCTTAAGTCGTCTGTTAAAATCTTTTAATCTGTGCCTTCTAGGTAAAGCGTTTCTGTTCTGACTGTGAAAGATATGCACATGCTTGGCCACAGTTAGGTGTATGATTTAACGACTTAAAATGATTGTATGATCTAAATGATGGTCAAGTTCTTTCTGGCAAAAGTATGAAACTGCCTACTGTGACCCACACAGGCGAGTGTGACAAGCGTTTGTCTAAGTCTCTTGCGAGAGAAGCTTCCTTTGGTTAAGATGCTGCACAGTTTAGGGGCAACGGGAACCACTCTGAGTTACTGAAGGAGGGTGGGCACTTTTATGCATTTTCACTTGGGTCAGTGGAAACTAAATATTTATTTTGGATTGTCCATGCATCTATCTTCCAACTGCTTATTCGGTAAAGGATCACAGGTCATTTGGGACTGGACTCTCCTAAATAAATACCTAAATTATGTCACAATTAACTCATTACAGGCAATTCTCAACTGGCATCCATCAATCCTTATGTAACATAAATTTTATATGTATCATGTGTTACCCCCCCCCCCCCATACCATTCATGACACCTTATTGCAAAAATCACACAAGCCAAAAATATACTATTAATACCTGCTAAAGAACATATATTAGATGAAAAGTGCAAATCTGCTTACAGGTATGTGTCTCCTGTGTTAGCACTTCTGTAATCTTTTTGAATCTCTGATATTTTTTGCACAAGTCTGGATTTAATGAAAAGCCTGTTTCATAAGTTGACAGCTGCCTGTAATTTGCTATCATTGTGGCTCAGCAAACCGTCCTTGTTGCTGTAAGTTAGATCCTCTGCTTGCTGGAGTTCAGATCCTCATCAAGAGGACAGAGAATTCTTCCCAGAAAACCACCGGCCCAATTCAAACTGCACGCCCCACCATTGAAGGAAAACCACTAAAGAAATAGCTGCCAAAGACACTGTCATCAGTTAATACAGCTCAGCCTCAGCGTCGACTGATGAATTGTGCGTTTGATCGATTGCTCTCCCCTGGCCTTTTCCTCAGTAAGTATCCAGCATGGCCTGTGTAGGTTTCTGATAGTTTTCCATCACTCCCGTCAAAACGCCAGTTAGTGCAGCACGTCTCCCGTAAAGCCAGCATCCTGCTCTTATCCCATGTGATCTTTAAAGATCTTGGCATCTCACAGTTACATGTTGGGCTTGTCTTAGCTTTAGTCAGACCTTAGCATTGTTATGCTAATTTAGAATTTAGAGCACATAACTTATCTGTAAGAATCAGGCCAGTTATTTGTGATGAGAAGCCGTGGAAGGAATCCCTGGTTCTGTACAGTTGTGTTTTTATTATAGCGGGGGCAGATCTAAGGGGTGACTAGGGGTGGGCCGTGGCCCCCACATTGCCACTCCTCACCAAAAAAAAAAGCATTTAATTAAGTAATCTGGAGCGTGATCAGTGGATCATTATGAGGGCCGTTAGGGACTTTATTCAGAATTATCATGCACATACATATGTGAATCCATGCATAAACATGTATGAAACCACTGAAAATTCCACACTTACAAGTGAAAGCACTTACATATACTACTGAAACACTCTCATATAAACAACTGTATATGCATGGTAATTCTGAATAAAGTCCCTAACAGCCCCTCATAGATCATGGTTTTTCTTCAGATAGATTGCGAGATGATTAATGGGTAAAGCTCAGGATCGCCAAAAGGTATCCCATCATACGAGGTCTGGTTACACCCCTGTTTTATGGAATACAGCATAATTAATATTAAACATTCAATCATGTAATTACTGGGAAATGTCTATAATTGACATTAAGCATTCTATGGACTATGGAAGGTCTTAGATTTGAAAAGTACAATCACGTGACCTAATTTTAAGAGTAAGACCAACTTTATTGATCGGTTTCTGTTAGTTCATTGTTAAAAATGGCTGGGGACAGTTTTTTATGACTATATAAAAGGTGGACTGGGAGAAGATGTGGCACAGTGGAAATTAGACCATTATATATGCTAAAGTAACTGTTTCTGAGCTGAGAAATTACTCTAGGCAACAATATAGGGTTTTGTGATTTTGGATACTTTGCTTTTTTCATATTGTCATTTCACAGAGCGAAGTATGAAGTTGTGCTGTGTCTCAATGTCTCTCTTGTAGTCTGTCTCGTAGTCTCTCTCGTAGTCTCTCTCAATGTCTTTCTCAGTGTGTCTCAATGTCTCTCTTGTAGTCTCTCTCAATGTCTGTCTCGTAGTCTCTCTCAATGTCTCTTTTAATGTCTCTCTTGTCCATGTTGTAGATGGCTTCAGCTACAGACGCCCGTTATGGACAGAAGGAGTCTGCCGACCAGAACTTCGACTACATGTTCAAGATCTTAATTATTGGCAACAGCAGCGTGGGCAAAACCAGCTTCCTGTTTCGTTATGCTGACGACTCGTTCACACCGGCTTTTGTCAGTACTGTCGGCATCGATTTCAAAGTGAAGACCATCTACAGGAACGACAAGAGGATCAAGCTACAGATTTGGGTGAGATTTGGGTGTTTCCTAAACACAAGGGTGGAAATGTTCTTCATGTCAAACTTTCTAGGTCCACCAGTGTCTGTATAAGATTGTGTGATATGGTACTAGAAGACGAGTATCAACAAGATTATTGCTGTAACTTTTAAATAAAACCCTGATATTTAGATTGAAATGCTTGGCCACCAAGACCTGTGCAGCAAATCAGTTGTCAGGTTTTATGTCATTGTTTTTGTGTCAACCTGGTTTTTGATAATTGATCTGATATTTTCTGCCATGTAGCTGGTTCTTAGGATATTTCAAGCTGCTATTAAATGGCTGCCCTGTCTTGAACGGAATGTCTGTTTTCTAGGACAATTAAGATGCAAGAAAATGTCGGGTAACCACCTGTATTTTTTTAACCAGATTCCTTTAACTCGTATAATGAAAGTAGTTAATACCATTTAGTTATTTGCTAACAGCTTACTAGTTGACCTTCTTCATAACTGGCTTATTAACTAGCTAGATGCAAATTTTGCCAACTGATACTTCGGGTTTCCAGCTTCGGTCCTGGCCGTTCTGTGTCTTGTGCAGCCCGTCAAGGTATTTTACCCAAATTGGATAAATAAATATGCTGGCTGAGCCCATTAAACCTTCTCGGCACTCGTCACCCGTAAGGACCAGGCTGTAAACTAGTCTGCCAGGAAACACCGCTAGCTAAGCGGAGTAGAAAGCATTGATTTCTTTGCTTGGTTCAGCTGCAGTGGTTCTAGCTGTAGATTATACTCGGCAGAGTAAGGTGTCATCCATCCCAGCTCCAGCTTCTAAAGGCTGGCAGAGAACTTTCCTAACATTATTTCCACGGTTTACATTTTAACAATGGTTCTGTCGACTTTAGCACAACAGTATTACCTGAACACCCTTTCAACATAATGTTGGAAAGTATTTTATAGTTAAAATATTTTATATAATTTTGTGAAAGTGCTATATGTGTATGCTAGAAGTGCACCGATCCGATATACAGGTCAGTATCGGCACCGATCCATTCCTATTACATGAATTCAGGCCTTAGGTGGCAGATCCATGTCTGATACTTATTTAGTCTTCGGTAGCCTGTCAAAAGATCCTCATTTCAAAAGCTCCTATTTAGTTTTAAATTGATTTGTACAATCAGTCGCACATATGCTGTTTCCCTTGTTAAATGTGTTTTTTGCAGCATTCATGCTGAACGCTATCGCTGCCACAGTTTTTTACCCCTCAGTGGGTGCGAGTGCAGTGACTTCTGCCTGCCGTGACATCATGCGCATTCCCTTTGCAGTAGGAGGAGCGAAAGAACATCTTTATGCTTAAAAGAACAACTACCAGTACAGCGATTTGTGATCATTGTGAAAAAACACATTTTTGATCGTTGGGAGTAGCTTTTGGTGAAAAATCCCACTAAACAAAGTGCCCGTAACAACGCAAGTAATATGACAACAGCAATGGATAATTTGGGAGTCGTTAGCTTGGGCTGTTTTGTATGCTCGATACCAGCCTGCGATACACAAAGAGCTGTGATCACAACGGAGTGTAATTTACGCTGTTGTCAGTGGGAGAAAATTGTGGGGCATTTTAAGCATTCGCCACTTGCGTGTCCTCTCTTGGAAGATATTCAAGCTGAACTGTAAATGCCTCAAATGCTTAAAAGAAGATGTACAAATGAGGTGTAACAGTATGTTTTGTGTGTTTCTGGTAGCCTAATTAACAAAGCTTTTTTGGTATACATTTTTTTCATTTGTGTTTACTAGTTTTAAAAAAGAGCTTTGGTATCAGATCGGTGCTCATGTCAGCTGATGCCCTCTGTTCAGGTATTGGGATCGTATTGGCACTAAAAAAGTGGGAACGGTGCCTCTTTAGTGTGCACAGCAAATGTGCATTCAGCCTCGAACCCATGATCTTGGAGGTGTGAAGCCCCAGTGCTACACGCTGCTCTCCTCTGCCCTTTACTTGTTTGCCAGTGTGAAGCCCCAGTGCTACACGCTGCTCTCCTCTGCCCTTTACTTGTTTGCCAGTGTGAAGCCCCAGTGCTACACGCTGCTCTCCTCTGCCCTTTACTTGTTTGCCAGTGTGAAGCCCCAGTGCTACACGC